TTTTGGGAATGTCTGATTTTAGCAAGAATGACGGTCATAACCCTATGCGAAACGACCCAGGCCGGACCTCCTGTGATCATGTCAAACAAGCACTGCTTCAAGCGATCAGGCGCAGCATGCAATTTGTCAAGCGGGTGAACGACATCACGACATCCTTCAAGGAACTCATCGGGGGTTGCATACACTCCTAGCCTAACCTCAAAAGCCCTAGACCCGCTATCAGCACCCGTACTGGATTCGCTGGAAGACTCATGCACAGTCTCGCCACTGCTGCTGCAGTCCTCATCACCCTTGTTTGCCATCGGATCAATAGTCGACTTCCCCGGAGTCCCCAGAGCCGAAGACCCAGAATCCCCCTTTTCAGAAAGCAATGAAGTCGAGGCGATGAGTTTGGAGCCAGCAGGCGCATCCCTGAGGGGCTGGAGCAAGCGGCGCTTGCCATCGACCTGAGGGAGAGCATGAACAGTGTACACAAGAACACGTTTATATTCATTCATGACAGGCGGCACTTTGCGTCCTCTGGGCTGGCGAGCGGATGAAACCGCAGCGGAAGCAGACGGCACCGGACGAGGAAGAGACGGCATTTGTCGACCAGCATGTCGAAACGCCAAAGCAACATACTGCTCACAAAAGGGCTTAGGGTTTGTAACGTCAGCGGCCGGTGCCCAAGGAAGATGAGTATGCCCACCTGCACATCGTTGCCTAAAGTGCTGCATAGCACTGCATGAGGACAGCAAAGACACATGCCTAAGGTGACAGCCCCCATAACAACACATGTCGAAATGCACATGTGGTGTGATGCCACAAGCCTCGCGAAGCACGGCAATTGCCAAAGCATGCTTGCCTCGGGATTTTCGACCGTCCAAGGAATGTTGCGAGAGGTCAATTCTTCAAGAAACCGCGATAGCCCGCGGTAAATCTTATTGGCCGCATTGACTCTATCAAGCTCAAGCCCTTTCAAGGAAGGCAGCCCCATCGGATGCTGAGAAGAACGGAATGAGGCGGCAGAAGCACCCTTGCGCTTTCCATGCCGGGCATTGAAGCAAGTGCCGCATGGCGGCGAAGCATGCACAAAGAAAATCGGGTTATCCCTGACAAGATCATGAAGAAAATCCCACGTAGCATCCTCAGTCAAGCTAAGGTTGCACACCTTTGCCAAAGGAAGATGACGGTTTTGCTGATGATCGATCGGCATCACAGGCACTCCTGCTTCCTGGAAACATCCCGAGAGTCTAGCGGCACCTGCGCAAAGCTCAGGAAACATTGGCTCTTTTGCAAAAACAGCTTCGGTATTATGCGATTGCTGCCTCAAGTTATCGTTTTGCTTTGTCGTGGATTTCAGCATGTCATCCAGAACTTCAGTGGCCTGTGCAAATGGCGGAGAGCCGGTGAGCACGGGAAACCTGGGTGGCCAGGGCAGCCTCACAGGGCGATGTGCATCCACCCGAAAGCGTTCATTGTCGGCAACCTGAGGCAAATGAAACTTCAAAGCTGAAAGGCGCTCAGCAGCATCACTAGACAGCTTGTCGAATGCCGAAATAGAGAAAGCAATTATAACCACCCTACGACCCGTCCAAGGCTCAGTCAAGTGAACACTCCGCCTGGCATCAAATAAGACTGGCCCTTCAGAGACCGGTAAAGTCAAACCTTGGACCGGTTTCCCATCCACATTGCGCGACACTTTTCCCGAAGAGGACTCAACCCAAATGGCACCGTCCTTAAAATCCGAAACAGGCACCACCAAATTTGGTATGTAGGATGGGGAGATGTCAGTACCATCGAACACGACTAACGACGTGAACTTATGCGCAGGCGCAGACTGCCTGACCAAAGTCGCCAGCACCGCCGATGCCTGCGGAAAGACAGCCAAGTTGGACCGTAGACCCACCTTGACCTTAGCAAAAGCTCCTGTGGCGAAGGGTTTGCCACCCTGTGTTCCCCTTGGGGGATCCACCTGCGGCAACATATCGAAGAGTTTCAAGATGTCGGTTTGGCACAACCAATCTGTCTTCAACCAATTCGAAGCAAACTGCTCAGCAGAAATCGGAGAATCAGTCTTTGTTGCACAAGACAAAAGTGCATCACCATCGGGCCGGCCTGATGGTCCAGAAGGGGGCTCCCCTTCAGGGCGTTCACTATCAGAAGAAGAGAGCACAAGCTCTTCACCAAGCTGTGCTGCATCTTTCTCCTCAGTCGTCTGAACCTGTGCCGGCACCTCCAGTCACTCTTTCTTATATGCTTGGGGCAATTGGCATACGTGTGATCACGCTTGAAGCATCCTTTAATGCAACAAATGTGAAGCCCCTTGTCGCACTTCCCATTGGAGACAGGCCGCTGACATCGGCCCAAGTTGTGGTCAAAGCAAATCGCCAACCCTCTTGTGGTGACGGGCACACCATCTGCAAGCTCAGCCGGCATGCGAACATTGCCCTGCACCTTTCCTTTCCCCTTTCCTTTGCCCTTGCCTTTGTTGCCCCGCCTGTCATCATAAGGCCCGTGCCGAGGATGCACAGGCGCCGGCGGTGGAGCAGGGAGAGGCTGAAGCAAATGTGTGACATTATTGCATGACATGGCATCGGACCAAATCTTATCGACCGGCTTACCATCGGCAACAAGCTGAATGCCTTGGCGAGTCCTGTCAGCAGCTTCCACGAAGAGCTGCCTATCTGCCTGCATGAGCTGCTGCAGGGTCACACGCATGTAGTTGTCTGGAGGTTCGCGGAATCGGGCGTTGAACAATGCTTCAACCCACCGTTCGTGTTCACTGAACGAAACCACACCTGCCTGATCCAGCGCTAACCCCCTTCGCGTCAAAGCACGTTTAAGCAAAAGGTCCGTAGTGACATCCGCCTCAACCTTTGCAGTATGCGATTTCAAGGACACATGGCCGGTGCCGTCGACTGACAACATCTTGTCATCACGATCCTTCTTGAACTTGACCTCATCGTCACGGCAAGGGCAAGCCTGAGGGGGCAAGTAGTGCAACACATTGCCCTCGTACATCTGGACACACTTGTCAATCACAGCATGTCCCGGCAAGGTCGGGCCATGAATGTTGAGCCCGACAAGGCACTGCTGTTGACGCTGAAGCCTATCAGCCCTGTCAGGGGCAGCCAACTTTCGAGGTGCCGAATCATCAGTCCTTTCCACCTGGACCTGCAACTCAGTGACAGTAAGATTGTAGCTCTCGTGGAGCAGCCTTCGCAGCACACTGAGCTCGGCTAAGACGGCTCACGCCCAAGAACCTTTGCAACGGCATCCGTGAAAGGCTTCTCGTCAGTGTTCCCAGGAACAAAGGAACTGAGAAAGGCAAACTTGCTCATGCAATCAATGCCCTCGCCGACAAACTTTGCCAAGACCGCATCCTCCAGGCCCAGCGCCTTGGCACGAGACGAGAAATTTGCTTTGCTCTCTGTGATGGCCATGGCGCCAACAACACTATCTAGAACTTCAGCCAAACCTGGCACGAACACATGCGCATACACGCACAGTCAAGGCCATGGCCCTTCGTTCATGCGCCTTCGGCGAAAAGCCCCAAAGCATCCGCCCTCTTTTTCAAAGCAGCGGTGACCAGTTCAAAAACCGCACTCCTCTGACCTCGGTCCGAGGGTGATCAAAACAGGCCCAGCGCTAGTCACAGGACCACATGCCGTTATCATGACAATCGCCGCCCCAAGGACGAGCGATGAATACCGAGTGGATCCGGTACCACCTGTAGCAAGGGCCGAGTGGTTCCAGCCCTGGAGCAGCACAAATGCTGCTCAATCACACTCCCTCAACAATTCAAGACATGCCGAGTGGATCCGGCAACACCAGCGAACACAAGGCCGAGTTGTTCCAGCCCAGCTGCAACAGATGCAGCACAATCGCATTCCTCAACGATTCAAGAAACATGCCGCGTGGCTCCAGCATGACAAAAAAGGCCAGCCACTCAGCTGGCAATCAGGCGCACACCCTCACTTGAAACAGTTCTGGCACACGTCAGCCATGAACCTGGGTCGCTCCGCGAGCCTTTCAAACTTCTTTGAGCACCTCTTTCCACACTTGAGCCGGTTCCTGCTCTCATCGGCCAACCGATGCAACTTCCTAGAAGTGATGTGTCTAGTATACACATGAGCATCAGGATCCTCCACTAGCAGCTCAGACCAAGGAGGAACAAGCACATCTGCTGCAGACTCCTCCGCACGCAAGTCCGGGACGTTGTCTTCTTCGTCCATGGACGCCTCTGAAGGAGACACCTCCAAGTAAATCTCGTCTCCTGGTACTCTCTCTGGCTCATTTGGAAAATATCTTGACCGAGTGGCATCGGGGATAAATTTGCCGATGCGCACATCGGCCAACAGGCCTTCCAAGGTTCTCAAGGCCGGGGCAACGTTATCCCGTCCGTAGACAAACATCATGGAATCCTGCGG